TTCGCCGTCCAGAACCGTCGGCGGTCGCGCGGTGTCCAGATCGGTCGCGGCAGCGGCAGCGGCGGGTGCTAAGAGATCTCCGCCGTCTCCGGACAAGACTGAGAAGAAGACAAACGGCAAGGATTATCAGAACCAGAGACAAAACGGGTTTGATCCTAACCATAATCACCACCACCATCAACGCGGGAACAGATCCGAATCAACGGCTCAGGTTCAATTGGATCACGAAACGAACAACAACAATGGCGAGAAAACGGGGCTAGTGGAGGTGATAGAGTGGCCCAGGATTTACATTGCCTTGTCTAGGAAGGAGAAGGAAGAAGATTTCTTAGCGATGAAGGGAACAAAGCTCCCACATCGGCCCCGGAAACGAGCGAAGAACATTGATAAAGCCCTTCAGGTAGAACAACCAAAGACATCATCTTTTCTTCCATTTTTTCCCCAACCAAAGATAGCTTACCAAAGCACAAAAAACTATTTGTCTTAACCCTAATTGTGGAATTTGGGTCGTGTTTGGCAGTATTGTTTTCCAGGGATGTGGCTGTCTGACTTGACCAAGAGCCGGTATGAAGTTAGAGAGAAGAAAAGCGTGAAGAAGGTAACTTCACTCTTCTGTCACCAACTATTATGAATCTGGAAGTTCTCATCTTTTTTGAAACCCTTAGTCCAAAACACGAATTGGGGATTAGGGTTTTCTCATTCATTAAGATCTTCTGAGTTCTTTGATCACAATACAGAGAGAGAAGAACAACTAAATCTTTGAGTTTATGTCATGGGTATGTGTGGATGTGAGCATACATGCTATAGATTATATTATATGTATATGTGGAGGAGGTGGGGTGGTGAAGTGTGTAGACAAGACGAGTGGACCTCATAAAAAACCTAATGGGTTTGTGGGTAATAAAAATAAAATAAAATCCGACAAGACATGGGACCTGCAGCCTGCTTTCTCACCTAATGCAGCTTTTTGTGTTGTGAAAATATATATATATATATATATATTTCTTTTTTCCTACTGTTTACTTCTTGTTTAATGGGTGATGATGATTGACAAATCTCCCAAATCGAAGTGGATTTGAGACAGAGGACAGCATATGGTGGTGAAATATGATTCTAGATCCAATGTCTTAAAGCAAGTGAACCCTAATTTTTCTATGGATATCATTGATTACAGCAACAGAAACGAAGGGGTTTGAAAGGCATGGAGAGTTTGGACACCGACTCCGAGTAGATGATGATCCATGACCATGACCCTGCAATGGCACTTTTGGCTTAACCTTGTGACTGATGTTTCTTTCATGTACGCACGTGCGAGGAGGGAGAAGGGGGAAATTGTCAATTTTCTTTGTTATATATATATATATTCTCTTGATCTTGTTGAATTTTAGTTTCCATTTTTCAATTTGTTGATCATATAATTTTTCTCCTTTTATAGCATATACTATAATATCTTACAATCCTACTGCATCTTTTATTTCTACAAAAATTAATATATTCTCTTAAAGAAATCCCCCATATATACACATTATTTTATATATATCAAAAAGGTAGAAATATGATTTTGTGCAGCATGTATTTATTGTGGCAAGCAGAATTTATTCTATTCTTTGAAATCGATGCAGCCACTAATATCAATTAATAAAATAAGCAAGAAATAAAATACGGATCTCTCTCTCTAGCGTTTTGTCAAAGATTCTCTTCCAATTTTAAAAAAAAATGAATCTGACGTCGTAGAAAAGGGGTGGGTTAAAGACCGGTTTAGAGCGGTAAACAAGAGAACCAAACGGTTCGATTATTAAATAAAACCGTACCGGTTCGAACCGGGAAGAGTGTCCATCAGCTCGGGTAAAATCGGCTCCTAGAATGCCGCGGCGCGTGAGAATATTAACCACCAACGCTGCACACCATAAGTATTGTGTGGCTATTAACAGCGGATTAAATCTTTTATACAAGAAACATTGTTCCTCAGCTCAGGGGCAAAAAAAAACAAAGGAACCCTCGGATAGAAACAGAGACTACTCCAACTCCGAATGGATAGCGTCCAGTCCACAAATGATATCAGCCCTTCATTTTGTTTCTCCTTCGCCTTCCCCCGAACAAGATAACACACTATACAATCCTCACTCTGAATCATCTTCTCTATCGATTTCGAAACCCTAGATTCCCCCAATTCCCTCTCCCATGGCGATTTCTTCTCCCGCCGCTTCTTCCTCCACATCATCCAGGCTCTTCTGCTCCTACGCCTCCTCCCCTTCCCCTTCTCTTTGCCCCGCCTCGTCCATTTCCACTGCCAATAAGCCCAAATCCCTAACCCTTTCTTCCTCATTCCTCCCTTCTTACTCCCTCTCCTCCTCCTCCTTCTCCGCCCTCTCCTGCCGCTCCCGACGCGCGTTCACCGTACGCGCCGCCCGTGAGAAGTTCGAGCGGAAGAAGCCCCACGTGAACATCGGCACGATTGGCCACGTTGACCATGGGAAGACCACATTGACTGCCGCCCTCACCATGGCCCTTGCCTCCACCGGAGGCGGCGCCCCGAAGAAGTATGACGAGATTGACGCCGCTCCTGAGGAGAGGGCTCGTGGTATCACCATCAACACGGCTACGGTCGAGTACGAGACTGAGAACCGTCACTATGCTCACGTCGATTGCCCTGGACACGCCGATTACGTCAAGAACATGATTACCGGCGCTGCGCAAATGGACGGAGCTATCCTCGTCGTCTCCGGCGCCGACGGCCCGATGCCGCAGACTAAGGAGCATATCCTTCTTGCGAAGCAGGTAGGTGTTCCCAACATGGTTGTCTTCCTCAACAAGGAGGACCAGGTTGATGACAGTGAATTACTCGAGCTCGTGGAGCTTGAGGTGCGTGAGCTTCTCTCTTCGTATGAGTTTCCCGGTGATGATATCCCGATTATCTCCGGTTCGGCTCTATTAGCTTTGGAATCTTTGACTGAAAATCCTAGTTTGAAGAGGGGTGAGAACAAATGGGTCGACAAAATTTACGAACTTATGGACGCTGTTGACAGTTACATCCCAATTCCGCAGAGGCAGACTGATCTGCCGTTCTTGTTAGCCGTTGAAGATGTCTTCTCTATCACTGGTCGAGGTACAGTTGCCACTGGTCGTGTTGAGAGAGGTACGGTTAAGGTGGGAGAAACCGTGGATCTAGTAGGATTGAGGGAAACCAGGAACTTCACAGTTACTGGTGTGGAAATGTTCCAGAAGATCCTTGATGAAGCTATGGCCGGAGATAATGTCGGGCTATTGCTTAGGGGAGTCCAAAAGGCTGACATTCAGAGAGGAATGGTGTTGGCCAAGCCGGGATCGATAACTCCGCACACAAAGTTTGAGGCGATTGTGTATGTGTTGAAGAAAGAGGAAGGAGGAAGGCATTCGCCGTTCTTTGCGGGATACAGGCCACAATTCTACATGAGAACAACTGATGTAACTGGTAAAGTGACAAAGATTATGAATGACAAGGATGAGGAGTCTAAGATGGTAATGCCGGGTGACCGTGTGAAAATGGTGGTGGAGCTCATCGTGCCGGTTGCTTGTGAGCAGGGAATGAGGTTTGCCATCCGAGAAGGAGGGAAGACCGTCGGCGCTGGAGTGATTCAGTCCATCATCGAATGATTTCAACGGCAGCAGCTGCTGAGTATTGCATAGTGAACTTGCTCTTGCCCTTTTATTTTCCCGCATTCAGAAATTACCCGGGATTGTCGTGCAAATTAGTTCTTTTGGCTTGTTTTTCCATAAGAACTTGAATCAAAATGTCATATATATCTCTTGGTTCATCTCGATCTCCATTAACATTCATCTGTTGCTGTTTCGTCATCTGAATATGCTGATGCTTGAAAACACAGTCAGGTTGTTCATCAAATACAGTCGGGGATTCTCGAGACTCTGTTTCTGATATATATATATATATATATATACGTTTATATATCGGTGTATACATATCCGCAATGAAGAGTGCTTTGGGGCTACCTTCAGGCAACCTGAGTTACAGTGTTCATCACTTTGAGTGGAGGATTTACCTATAAAAGGGAGCTACCGAAGAAAGGAATGATCTTTTCTCTACTTTCCACACATTTCTCTGATTACAAGTATGCCTTCACAGATCTTCTCATGTAAATTCTACCTGGAGACGTGAAATTAACACTATTGTGGTTTTAAATAATTCTGCGTTCACAGTCGCGACGCCAGAAAACGCGTTTCCATTTAGGCCTAAACGCGCGTTTTGATACCCAAGTCGCGGATGAGCCGGTCCATCCCGAAAGAACCAACAGTGACACGGTTAAATCCAAACCCAAATGCGAAAGCTCTACGTATCATGCAGATTTATCGATAGGCAGAGAGAGGTATCGGAGAGGGGCGAAGATCCAAAACCGTTGCCATTTTCACTGTCGAATCTGCAAAACTTATCGTTATCTCCTGCTAATTGGCGGATTAGCGGGTGTTTGAATCGATTCCTGCCCCATCTCCAATCGGTACGACTGAGAACGATTTTCCTTTTTCCTTTCAAATCTTCTTCGATTTTCGCCTCTGTACCGTTCAATTTGGAGGTTTAATTCTTCCGAAATCCGATTTGGTTTCGATGCAGAAGTTTACGCTTTGAATTGGAATTGGGTTTCGGTTCAAAGTTTGCTCTTTTATTGCTTTGCCCTGGGGCTAATCAGGTGACTTTCTTGGATTCTGGATTTCCCACTATTGACATTTGATGGGGTTTTTGCTGTTCTTTTGCGATAGGATGATCAATAGAGGAATTTGCGTGTTTAGATTATATTGAATTTGGAGAATTAGAGACTTGTTAGGGTTCTTGATTGGGTGTAAATTTCTGTCAGACTTGTCTTTTTGAGGACTTGTTGTTGGGTTGTGGACATGGCAGATATGCAGGACCAGCTCGTGTGCCATGGGTGTAGAAATGTTTTGCTCTATCCTAGAGGATCGACAAATGTATGCTGTGCATTATGTAGCACGATCAACATGGTTCCTCCTCCTCATCCTCCTCGTGGTATTGTCCTTTTCTTCGCTTTGTTCCTGAGACTTTGCAGATTTTGATCCATTATAGTCACCATATCAGATAATTGGAGAATTTTGCAAAATCATATAACCCTCTACTTGACCGGACTGAATGAAAAATCGGGGAATGTCTTCACATGCCAAACCTTGAACACCACCTATGTAGAATCAGGACCTGCAGACGTAGCTTACAGCTTTGGGGAGTGGGGCTTTGATAATGGGAAGGTTTTCTTATCAGGAACAAAAACTTAGAGTAGTACATAGAGGAGAATAGGAGTCTTCTAATAAAATTTGAGGCTGATCCTTGATCCTTCTATCCTTATAAACTTGATTCTCAACAAAGTTCGTGCAGGGATGGACATGGCTCACATTATATGTGGTGGTTGCCGGACAATGCTTATGTATACACGTGGGGCAAATAGCGTAAGATGTTCTTGCTGTCAGACTTTGAACCTCGTACCAGGTACCTTATGACACAATCCTAAAGAATCAGCTAATCTCATTGAATGCTAAATGGTCTTTGGCTCTCAAGTCTTCTATGCTTCACTCTCATGTTTATGTAC